TCAGGTTATCCTGAGTTTCTTTATAGTTATGCTGCTATAGGCTAAGGCTGCTTGAGGACATAGGGACCAATTATATAATTCTGCTTCTTTCATCTGTCTGTAAAATTGGATTGTCTCTGTAAGGTGCCTTGAGATTATTTGTGTTATCAACTAGCACTGTATGTATGTATATTCCTATGTACCCCTGGGCAAGAGACAATGTTTTTACAGATCTACATATCGGTTTATGAATATGTGCACATTGGTGAGAACAATAGGTGAGTGTGGCTTTTCTTTATAGCACTTTTATTGCTCAGTCTGACCAGAAAAGCACTGCAAAAATATTGTCCATTTTCATTAAATGGGAATGTATGACTAATCCCCAGCCAGTGACCAATGGCTAGACAGAACTGGAATTGTGCCCAATGGCTGTTTAAAATAGGGTCTAAGGCGGAAACAGAAAATTAGCTGGTCTTTAAATAGCTCAGGAGTTATCCATAGAGATCAATACTCTGATCCTAAGTAATCCAAAAATGTTACTGCTATTTCCACATTAATATCTAGTCCAGGATTTGATGCATCAGTGCAAAGCTGCAAAGTCTGTTCCTCATATTTTACATGTGATGTAAATTATGAAAAAACAAAAAACAAAAGACTTAGTACTGTTTATCAATAACACAATAAACTCAGAGTATATTTACTTATTATATTTACTTTTAACTACATTTAGGGAGACTCAATTATCTTTAATCATGCTGTTGTATATTTGCTGCTCTGTTTAGGATTGCTGTTAAATTTAGAGACACTTTTACCATTTTTGTCAAAAAAAGCCATTAAAATTTTGTTCCACAATAGTTTGGTACACAGAGAAGATCAGTGTAAAATCAAAGGCTGTTAAGAATAATATATATATTTTTGATAGAACACTATTATTAAAAACACATATATTGATGTAGAATGAGGGGCAGAAGTAGATGGGGGGCCAGGGGTGGCCACCTTTAACCAATCATTGGATACACCTGTGGCCACCTCTACTGACTGTACTCTTAAGTGCAATGTTTTAACCAATTCTGCATTTTCATATTATGTATTAACAATAAACTAACAACAAAACACAATGAATAATTACTCATATCAATATACTTACGTTGAAGATGATAAATACAGAATTGATACTCTATTCAGAACTAGATTTTGTGTTAAATGGGATAGAGATAGAAATATGTGTATCTACAAGTCATCTAGGAGTCTTCAATGTAAACAGAGATAAATATCAACTAAATCCATTTAATGTGTGTATTAGTATGTTTAAATATTAATATTATGCAAAACAATTATTGAAAAAAAAAGTATAGACATTCTTTTTTTTAATCTTTTTTTTAGAAATGTAGGAAGAAATGACAATGGATAAGATGTTCACCCAAGAACTCAAAGCTGTAAGAAGATTGTCTACTATGCCTTTAATTGAGAAAAAAACAGATGTGTAAATGTGTGTGTATTTTTATGAGTGAGGGATTTAGGAAAGTCTACTGTATTTGGAAAACACAGATGTTGTGCACAGTTATTTTCCTGCTAGAACAGTGAGAATTGACCCTGAGGTTCTGGCGCCTATCCATGTTCGGCCACCCCTCAGTGCATATTGGTTCCTGCCTGACCACCCCAATAATATATTTCTGGCTACGCCTCTGTGTAGAATATGCTTTGTTTTATGTAAGCATGACTTTAAATGAAAAATAATGTAAGAACTTGATTCATTATCTGGTAACTTCTATTCCCTAGGATAAAAAAGTCTTTAAAGTAATTGTCGACATTCTTTCTTTTTACCATGTCTGTAAGCATGTGCAGAGGTGAGAGAAACAATTTTACCTAAAAAAGGCCTAAACTTTGTCTGTTTTGTCTTTACATTTCAGTCAGGTGGGGGGCTAGAGGGGCCTCTGAAGTTTAGCCAGAACCCCCATCAAACTAAAACCAGAGATGATGTCATCCTCATTGGTTAAGGCTGTCCTGATAAAACCACTGGCTCGATGCCCCATTACAGCAAATTTCAGCTGCATGTTCAGTCTTGGCCGCGCTGCATATAGACCCAAACATGAATGCAAAAACACACATACAGAGCTCTGTTGTTAGTCAGAGGAATCGTCTGACAGTTTGGGAAATTTGCTCATGTGTTTTTTTGCCAACAGTCATATGAGAAGATGGATCACATGTTTGGTATCTGACTGTTAAACAGAGAGTTATAACAAGAAGATTGATAACTTAGCTTAGCACACAAGCTAAGTGACATTTTTGTGTTGAAATTTGATATAATCCATCATGAAAGTGCATGAACCCCCCCAATATCCCTACATCTCATAAATACATTATCCTTGGTTATTTATATGCTGGGAAAGGTGATCCAAAGCCTGTCTGTTTTGTGAAAAATATGCGAACTGCTAAGATTAGCAGATGATTTAAAGGTAATACAGTGTCATATATTATCAGTCACTAAAATCTCAATCTGCTGTGAGTGGGCCTGCTGTTTCGTTTCAAGATAAGAGACATATCCGAGCTTTAATGCATGATCGTGGAAGTGCATTGTGGCAAGAACAAATGAGTTCTCAAAGGAGCTCAGAAAAATACGTTTTCCATGCTCATCAGGCTTTAAAATGTTATGATTAGTTGGACAGACTGGGTAAAACTGAGTGAAATGTGAGAACAACGTCAGCCCCCCAGGGGACAGTTGACTAAGAAAGATCACCCAAAGAGTAGGATATGTAATATAACATGAAATCCCAAAGCAACCTGATGTAACCTAGAGGGGAGGTTCCCACAGTTTTTGACCTCTGACCCACGAAATTACCCTGTCAGGGAGTACTGACCCCAGCTATCACTGGTTAAAGTACGCAAACATTACTAACGAGCCAATTAAAGCAAATCAAGGCAGCGTAGAAAAACTCACATGACATTATTCCTTTTATAAAACTCATTACTAATCCTTTTCTTTTTCATAAAACACTGTTATAAGGAGCTATTGTAAATAATCCTTAGTGTTGAAGATCATTTAAAGACCCCGTATAAAGCTAAGGTCATCACCAACAGATGAATCGCACCTTCAGCCATCAGCGATTATCTTCATAAGTTCTTGGACCAGTTACAGGTGTCAAGAAATACAAAAGTATTTAAAGTTAGCACTGTTCCAAACCCGTTACTGCACACTGCCTGACAGCTGACGTTTCCCAACTTTTAACACCACAATCTTTTAACTACAATCAGCATGAAAGAGCGACCTAATTTGAATAAAAGCTACTAGCAAATTTTACTTTTAGTACTGTAAAGCTATGCTATTTTATACTAAGATTACGATACCCTAAAAATCTCATTTTAACCTATGCTTATAATTCAAAAAAGAGAAAACATAAATAACCTAGAAGATTCTCACCTAAGCTCAGCTACAGCCGGCTGCAGTGTAAACATGGCTAATAGGGTAATTAACTGGACTGACCACTTGTATTAATCTATTGGTGTGGTCCTAATAACACAGTGCTATATGTATGCTAACAGCAGGGTCCAGATTCCAGCTTTGAGACCCGCAGATCAAACACCTGAGCATCAACAAGTCATCTTTAGTTCCCATGTGCTACAAAGTGTCTGTAAAGATGTGTGTTGCTCATTAATCTCAGTGGGGCGCACTTGTGTAGTTTACAACAGCTAAACCTTGAAAGACATAAACACTTAACATTTCTCTTTACTCCAGTGTTAAGTCTGCACTAACCTTTTCCTCCACAGCGTCCTCTTTTCCTGTGGTCTCACCCTGACGTTTTGACCTCTGCCAGCTCTGCCTCCACCCCTCAGAGCGAAGCAGACTGTCAGTGACATCAGCTTTAATCTTTTAACTTCTCCAACCGCATCTCTCCATATGGAGACCATTACCGCTTTGCAGCCGTCAGAGACTGCAAACACGTTTCAGCTAACTTTAACCAAACAGCTGATTACTTCTTCACACTCCCGCAAACTTGTGGTCTTGAGGGAATTTTTGAATATGGCCATGTGTTTGATTTTATTTCGAATAACATTTAGAGGTGAGAAATAATAGTTTCCAAAGATTTAGTAATAATCGCAACTTTTCTGTAATTGGTTTCAAAATGGGCTTTTTGTGGTAAATAATTTCCATCCGAAGGCAGCGGGGAATTGTTCTGCAAAACAGAACAAGGTGCGGTAATTATGAGCAAGAAGGAGAAGCTGCCTTTTGAGCTAACTGTTGATTTTGGCCAAATTCAAAGTGGCTGGTGGTTTTCAATGAAATTTGAATTTATTGTACAGCCCCACCAAGCTGATGTCTGTACCTTACCATTTTTAAGAGAAAGTGTTCATGTAAGTGTGCATTGTGAATTACACCAGCCAGTGTAGACTTTTTACAAGCCTCTGTGATATTTAAAACACATTATATAGATCTCCTGCCACAGTTTCGGCTCTTTTTCCCCATGCTGACCGTTGTGGCTTGAACTGTTTTGGGTCTTTTTCTTGAGCCCAACGTCTGCGGTCTGTGGCATCCAAGACCAGGGCGCTCCACTGCCGAGAAACCATCCACTTTACAAGCTGCCCCAGTTTTATTCTTCATTCATATAGCTTTAATGGCCATGGCGATATTTAGGAAGCATACTGACGTGCTGCTGTGAAAGGCTAAAATGTGTTTATGTGCACATATAACGACAGGAAGGCCTGAAAAGAGAAACACTGTGGTTCTAACTTTTCTACCAGAGGAAAGGATTCCTTTAAATTGCAGTTTTTCTGTAGTCCATGTTACTAAAAGTAATCAAACCCAGACTTCGACCCCACTTTTAAGATGCCGACTGGTTCAGAGTACAGTGGTGTGATTAGCGAGCTAACCAGATACACACCACCTCACATGAAAAGGGCACTGATGTGGGTAGCTGCTAAAAGCACACAGATGTGTTCAGATAAAACATGTGGTCCTTGACATAATTAGTCTGCGATAACTCAGTTCCCAAAGACCGACTTTTAGAGGAGGAAAAGAAACTTACCTTCACGACACTCCAGTCCCACAAAACCAGGGCAGCACCTCCACTCCAGTGCTGTGATCTGCTTGTACATAATCTTAAACGATGGCTTGATTATGGTTCTGTAGCTGCATAAAATGAAAGAAAAGCCACAAATTGAGCAAAAATTATCACAGCAGCCAGTAAGATTAAATAAAAAATTAGAAAACTATGAAAGGAATAAACTTAGATCCAGCCTATACAATAATGTAATATTTGCAGGTATTCAGCAAACTTCGCTCTCTGGAGAATGATAAAGGTTTTTACTGAGGGTTGTAGTCTTTAGAGAACCTTTAGGTAATGTTTTCTCATTATTCTCTGACGGTTGGCTTCAATATTCCTAGAAACTTTTAACCAATTGAATATTCTTTATATGTTTCCTATGTGTTATCCAAAACTTTCCAAATCTATGTCTTAGAAAACAATTCTCGAATGGATATCAGCTTTCTAGCCTTCAAAGAACCTTCCCTAAAGGTTCACTGAAGCACATAGTGTTCACAGTTGTAGATAAGGCTCTTCTCCAGGGAACACTTCCTGTGGTTTCTGGGAATAGAGGTTCTTAATGCTGCCAGGGTAGAGCCTTTAGGGGACTTTTCCTTATTCTGTTTTTTGAGGCTTTAGATTATCTTCAGGTAATGCTTCCTGAAGGTCCTCAGGTTACCTTAGACATTGAGAGTTTACACTTTTGGGAACTAAAAGGAATGTTGTTCATTGGTTCCCTTCATCTGAGCTACAGCTCTCACTGTGTAATCCTTGATGAAGCTTCAGGGAAAACTCTGATAATGTTCTTTGAAGGTTACCAGTGTTTGAGGCATACAGTTTGCAACTTTTGGAGAGTATTTTCTGGATGTTCTTTGAATGTACAAACTATCTAGAACAGGGATGTCAGACTGGTTCCAGAAAGGGCCATGTGGCTGCAGGTCTTCTTCCCAACCTAGCAATAGCACACCAGACTCCATTCATCTCATCCAGGGAGTGCAATCTGAACAAGATGACTGGATGAGATGACTGGAGTCTGGTGTGCTATTGCTTGGTTGGAAAGAAGACCTGCAGCCACACGGCCCTTTCTGGAATCAGTTTGACATCCCTGATCTAGAAGCAATGTTCACATATGGCTACAGAACCCTCAGGGAACATTTCCTAAAGATTATCTTTGTCCAGAGTTAAAATTTTAGCTTGCTAATCTACAACTCTTACAATGTAATGTTTTAAAATCAATGGCAGAAAACTGTCAGTCCCCTGCAATTTATCTGATGTCTATATCTCACATTATGAATGTTGAAGAACAGTCAAAGAAGGTACCCTAAAGGTTCTAAAACCTTTATCTACAACTTTGATGATGGAACCCTTAGAAAACATTAAGGTATTGTTCCGTTAAGTTTCCCATATTATTGCCTACAGTGTTTAACTCTTTAGCCTTTGGATAAGTTTTTGGGAACCGTCCTGAAAGGTTCTCTGAATCTATGATAATGTGCTGATTTGGTCAGTCAAGAGAAAATCTTCCAGGTTTATGAAGATCTACATTAAGGGATAATTCCCTGAGGTTCCCTGACTAACATCTTTTTTTTTTGAAGGATCTACATGTGCGGCACTATAACTACAATAACATGTGTAATAACTAATGTGCAATTACTATTTAATACCCCGTGCAATAACCTGCTTATATTTAATACCCTTTGAAATAACCTATTAATATTTAATATCCTGTGCAATAACCTTTTTATTTTAATACTCTGTGCAATAACTATATATATCAATACCTATTTATATAAATACTTATTCAATGTATATACTTTATATAACCCATGCACCTTTTCCTCCTTTTGGAACCTTCTTTGGACTATTGAGCAGAAGTGACAAGAGAATTTCTCCACTGTTAGATCAACCAAAGTCTATCTTATCTTATTTCTGTCAAGATGCAACATTTAGAAAATCTTAAAGAAATGCACCATCGTTTTTTCTTAATACGGTATTCTACAAATATTCTGTAACTTCTACAGACACTTTTGGGAACTTTCCTCGAAAGATATGTTAAAGTTTATTTTGGATGTTGCCAATGCAGACTTTTGAGAACAATCCAGGGATATTTGTTGACCACATCCTACTATTTTTAAGGAAATGCTCCCTAAAGGCTTAGCTAAAATAGTGTGGGGGTGGGGTTAGTTCTAAACCACTTTTGTACATCTTGCTTTTTGGTTGTTGAAAAGCTACAGAATACCAACTAGGGGTGGCTTTATAGTAGGGAATTTATAAATAACTTAAATAAAACAAGCTGTAAAAAAGTCAACTTTTACACAATGTGAGGACTTTTTAAGCATAAATACTGCCCTGCTTTGGTCAACATGGCATATTTGTTTTCTATTTACAGCAGCACTGAGCATCTCTGCTGATAGAGCTGTTAGATGAGGATTTGTGGGAGGGAATCATGTTTCAGGAAACTCTACCTGATGACTTTGGAGCATGGTCCAGGCCACCGGCAGCCCTGCATCACCCTCTGCACCGTGGTTTCAGTCCCATTGTGCACTTTACAGGTCACTGTCCTGGAAACAGTGTACTGACACCAGTTCCTAAAAAGCAAAGTAAAAGAGAGGCAATCCTTACTGTGAACGGTTGAAAAACAGACAGTAAGGGGATTGCTGCAGCCAGCTCTCCGGGGTGCGCGCACCTATGTGAGGAGCCGGTTCCCGGCGACCCGGTACCGGTGCTCTGCTCGGGATGGATGCGGTGCCGCTGCACGGTGATCCCCGGAAACCGATAAACAAACCCGGTTTCAAGCGATGGATGCAGCAAACCTATCCAGACGCACAGCGCGTAGACGTAACCCACAGCCATATTCTCCCCTTAAAATAATCCCTGACGATGATAATCCCAGAGTTACCGGATTGGTTTTCAAGTTGATCCCGTTCCAGATCCTGCAGAAGAAAACGGGAAACCCTACAAAAGCTGCGCTGAAACCATCAGAAAAAGTTTGCCATCTCCTGCACCGGATAAAAACAAGCGTACCCCCCTTCAGGAGTCCAGGATGAATGGCACAGAACCTCTTTCTATAGAATATATGGACTCTGTGACGTTTGACATGGTGCTGAGAACAGAGGAGTCAAATATCCACAGAGCGAATAAAAAAAGCGCGCCGGCTGCGGGGCTGGAGACGTGCGTCAAAGCGCATCTGGTCTCCATTGAAAAAAAGAAAGAAAAACTCCCAAGGCTGATGCTTTATCATATTAAAGCAAGACCATAAAGAGTGTTACATTTAGTTTATTTTTGCCTTTATTATTACTGGCATGGACATAGAGCTAGAGCTATAGACATAGAGCTATGGACATAGAGCTAGGGCTATGGAGCACTGGATAAAAACCAGCAGATCATCTTCACAGTTTATCTGAAACAACTTTATGGATATATTAATTAATTCAATTCATTTATATAGCGCCAATTCAAAACACATGTCATCTCAAGGGACTTTACAGATACAATTAAACCAGATCATACAGCCAGATGGGAAACTTCATCTGTCATAACTGAGTAAAATATTGAATCAAACTTCTTTTTTTCCTAAGATGAGAAGTGATTAAAGGACAAAATTTCATTCTGGCTATAATGGCCTGGGTACTCCACTTTCAAGTCAACTGATAAATGTAACTTTGATCAAACTTTATCACATGAAGAGTTAATTGGAGTGATTAGTTATGCATCACTTCTAGGTTTGAAGTAATCACATTTATGTTTGTTTTTCCTGTAAGAGTTTTACTTCTCGTAAAAATGTATAAAAAGCATATTTCATACCATATTACTATAGATTAGGTTAAAGTTGCAAAATGATGCTTTAGGTAAGTGTCATCTTACTTTATGGTTTGGTTGGCTTCTACTTTTAGTGAATGAAATATACTAATTTCACAATTTGCAATTGAAAAGCTTCAGTTATAAAGGGAAAGGTGTAGATTAGATGTCTTTTTTAGCTCTGATAATAAATGCTTCTTGAGAGATTATAAGATGTGGATAGTGAAGGGCAAGGATCTCATTCTGAGATCATTTCTTCCTTTTTTTCCTGCTGGATTTATATTCAAACCTTTTTTTACTGTTCGTAAATAGGTTAAACTGCAACCAGCCAGCTTGGGAAAATAATGACGAAACCAATCAGGCAAAACATAATTACAACTTGCATGATAGCATGCTGGTCCCCAATATACCACTGATCTGTCATTGCATGGACTCTATGAGGACCCAGGAGAGGAGCAGTAGTATCTGGCAGTGAGATCATTGCAGGCAGATACTTTGAGTGGTGTATGGTAGTTTGGGAACCTCCATGAATCGCAGTCTTTTCTCCCACTGGTGTTCCATCACAACATATCGATCAGATACCTGGGAGTTTTAGAGCAGAACTTTGCAACAAAGCACAGACACTTCGTAGCTCTGCATGTCCTTATTCCATAGGACAGAGGTCTGCAAGCTCCAGCATCTGGCAATAGAAATTTCTTACTGTGGCTCTTAGTAAAACTGGTCAGAAACTATATATGTAACTTAACCATGTATTTTAAGTATGGAGACAATAAAGAAATGTAGTTTTAGCAGTTGTTTTCCAAGTGTTATCATGCAGTAGCTGAAAAGAAAAATTGCCACAGCAGAGCAGCACTGTTGGTACAAGAGAGATTTGCTTTAAATGTTTTTGTAGGGAAGCTCAAATAAGCTTAAATATGGTCAAGTTTAGACACATTTTAGGAGCAATAGTATTATACAAAGGTTTCTGATCCCCAGCAAAGCAAACAATGAGTCCTAATCCTGTTCCTATAGGTAGGTATATAGATAGGCCTACTCATTCATCATACTCGTTCATCAGGGCAATAAATCATATTGGACTTATAGCTCCTATACTTCTTTAGAAGAATCTATAGGTTCTTCTAAAAATCTTATTTGACTCCATGTTGGCATAAGTTATCCTCCATGGTGTGGTATGTTGGAGCTGCAGCTAGTATGCAGCTGAGAGGAAGCACTGGGATAAGCTCATTAGGGAAGCCAGCTTTGTTCTGGGATGCCCCCTGAATCCAGTGCAGGTGGCGAGAGACAGAAGGCAAAAATAACATCACTGTGGGAAAATATTGCTCGCTAAAACAAGTGAAGATGTGGTAAAACCATAAAAGGTTCTTTAGTGACAGGACTTGCATTGTAGCAGAGATTTTGTAATCATTACTGCTCCCAAAAGCCGAAATAGAAAATATATATTTTAGCGCTGCTGCTATTTGTAGTTTTTTTTCCTAATTTCTTGTAAATATTTGTTTATTTCTTATGCATAAGTATAGATGTGCTTGTTGTAATTTGGAATGATCCCACTGAAAATTTAACCCTACTTTATAAATCGTATTCTTGTTTACTTATTTTATGATTTTACTTTTGTGTGGAATCAACCTGCTTTGATTTGAGTGTCAATTTCTTGCTGGAACACTAAACTTAACTTGAGTGACAATCGGCCAATTCTAATCTATTCTTTTCTTTTCTATTCTATTCTATTCTATTCTACTCTATTCTATTCTATTCTATTCTATTCTATTATTTTGCACAGCTCTGATGTTGCTGCTATTTTCAAATATCCATTACTCTAAAAATGACCATAGCTGTATATTGGTTATTTATTCTCCAGGTGCACTGTTTATATTGTTAAAATATTCTACAGTACAGTAATTTATTGTTCATCTTTTAAATCTTCACTATTATGTTATTCTTATACATTTTTCTAAGGTCCATATTTGTGTGACCAATTTTTTCTATAATATTTTTGCCACTGTAAACACCAGAATTTCCCCATTGTTGAACAATAACAGGATTTTTCTATTCTATTCTATTCTGTTCTTTTCTATTCTGTTCTATCCTATTCTATTCTATTCTGTTCTTTTCTATTCTATTCTATTCTATTCTATTCTATCCTTTTCTATTCTGTTTTGTTCTATTCTATTTTAATGTATTCTATTCTGTTCATTTCTATTCTATTCTGTTCTATTCTATTCTATTTTATTCTATTCTATTCTGTTCTTTTCTATTTTATTCTATTATTTTCTATTCTATTCTGTTGTTCTATTCTACTTTATAATCTGTGGAGTAGTGTCTCATCATTGGTTTTGCAGCGCCCCCTGGTGCCTAGTCTCCCTCCCTACAGGCTGCAGAAGGAGACGTGTCCCATTTCAGAGTAGCTTGAACGGGCTCACATATTTAGAGCAAGACCCGCTAAAACATGGAAGAAAAAACGGATAGGGAGATGCCGGAGAACCCTCTCGAACCTTACATAGAGTACGTCCGTCAGCAGCTGGAGGAGCAGGACCCGGTGGTTCTGGTGGGAGTTATCGTGGCTCTGGCGGTGATTCTCATCACCTGTGGTAAGAACTAGCATGCTAGCATAGCAAGCTAACGGTTACATGTTAGCTTAGCGAAGTGAGCCAAAATTGGCAGGTAGGCAGAAAGCTGCCCTCTAATTTAAGCTTCCGTATTTCAAAAACTGTTTGTTTTTTTGTTTGTTTGTTTTTTAAAGATAGTTTAAGCTTGTTGTAGAAACAAATAGGAGCAGCTGTCACTCGCAGCATTCAAGGAAGTAGTTCAAGCTGGAGCCTTTCCTCACACAGACAGTAAAACCACAATTTAATTTCTTTATTTTTTTTTAGTGTTCCTGAAGTACTTTCTAACCAGCAAAACAGTCCGGAGCGCAGTGCTGCTGGTGGGACTGTGTGACTCCGGGAAAACCCTCCTGTTTATCCGAGTGAGTGTCACCAAGGGGGATCCACGTTGCTTCAGCATTTAGCTGGACACCTTAACTCTGCTCTGCTTTAATGTCATTGCAGCTCCTGTCAGGGAAGTTCAAGCGCACACAGACCTCCATCACGGACAGCAGTGCGCCATACAAAGCTAAAAATGAGAGGGTAAATAAAAGCAGCAACATTTCCCCCACAGTTTGTTATGATACATATGCAAATTAATCTTCTAATCCATCACAACATAGTGGAGAAACTGGGAGATGTAAAGAACATTTTGCATTTGGTTTTTACAAAAGAAAGAAAAAAAAAAAAAAAAAAAAAGAGATCCACAGCATGACGCTTCCACCACCATGTTTCACTGTGATGATGGTGTGTTCCATTGATCGAAATGTACATGTACAAATGTACCTTACATCAGCTGAAATAGTCAAAGAAGAAGAATGTGCCAAAGGAAGTAAATACAGTATATACTGTGTGTCCACATATGACAGCTGTTTATTTTTTATATGTATAGTACGAGTATTTTACAGGGTTATTGCACATGGTTTTTACATGGGTTTTTATATAGACGTATATTTATGTATACAGTTATTGCATTGGTTGTCAAATAAAGAGAAACCCGTCATTGCACAGGGTATCAAATAATAATTGCACATTAAACATTGCACAAGTTACTTTTAGTGTTGCTGTGTTCTTATGACCAGAGCAGTTTTTTTCATGTGTGATGTGTTTATTCCGTGGCTTATGGAAAACTGAAAATGTCTTTCAGCCATCCTTTCAGCATCCTCTCAGATATTAGGCCAAAGTTGTGGAGGTTAGGTTTAACCAGTTTGCAGTTAATCTATTCTCCAAACTGAGCTGTGGATCTCTGCACCTCTTAATGGTGGCTTCTCTAAATAATGGTCTCCTTGTTGGTTTAAGGTGGGCAGCCTTATCTTGATGTGCTTGTTGCAGTCTCAATCTTCTCATCATCAGATGTTGTTTTGAAAAGTTCTTAGTGGGATGTTGAAAGTTTTGTAACCTAATCCTACTGCAAACCGCTCCATGGCTTTATCCCTAGGCTGTCTCTTCATTGGTCTTTTTAATGTGTTTCGTTCACTAATGTTCTCAAACAATCTGGAGGAGGGCTTCACTGAGAAGCTGGATTTATACTCAGATTGAATTCCAGATGGACTCTGTTTACTAATGAGGTCATATTTTTGTTTCTTTCTGGATTTATTTAGGTATGAGGCTAAAAAGCGTGAAATTGTAAACCACAAATTTTGAAATGCACACCACTTTCATGATCGTATACTATTTAGTTTTAGTCTGTTTCAGGTAATTTTTCAAAAATCATATAGTTTATGGCTGTAATTTCACCAAA